GCGCGCCAAAGCTACAAAACCGATTAACAAGCTGTGTCGAGCGAAGTGCAGGGAGTATATGTGGGGAATTCAGGCCTCTGCAGAAAATGGAGATGCTTGAGCTGATTCATTGTCAGCTGGTTTGATTCAAACGCGACGGCACACTTGGGAATCTCACATTGGATCATTTCATGCCTGGGATCTGCCCGGGATAACGCGCTGACAGAGTAGCTATTTACAATCTGGGATTTGTGAAGAATGGGCTAGCTGGACAGCAATCTCAGGAACACAGCAGGGCACTGGCAACTCACCTGTGCCCAAAAAGTGCTTATGGTCTGGGCATCCATGCTCCAAGGTCCCGCATCACAACTTGAAACGATTCTGGATACCTTGGAGGGGTGCACATTCAAACGAAATCCGTGTCCCGAAGGACATACCTCAGAGAGGTGGCTCATTCTCCTCATTGGTCGAATCAGAAAACCAGAGTTGGTCTGGCTGTGCGTCTGCGGGCCCAGCACATCAGGTCCGTTTGAAGATCCTCCGGGGTCAGGCCGTTCGCGAAAAATAACTGCTATCCCCTTCAAGCCAGGGTCTGAAATCTTCAGCTGTCATCTCAGTGATACGGCAAACCGACGGAACTTGAAACAAATTGGATGTTCATAACATTTCACAAATGTAGTTGCGTACCTTTGGTTATCTTCGCGAAGTCAGCGGGATTGCAGCCGCATTTTGTGTACCGAATGTCAGGGAAGCTTGAACATGCTGGGCCGGCAGGACTTAAAACACAAGGGGAGGGTTTTCCCATGTGCCCCTATTTACACAAGGGGGAGAACGTGCTGAACTCGTAGTGATCAGCAATCCTCGATTTCTGAGCCGTCAAATCATCTCAAATCACTGCAGCTTGCTGTTGTCATCTAGGCAAAACAGTACAGGCACTGCTGACAATCTTTCGGCGATGGACAGCAATGGATTCACGTCCTGGTCAACTGCGTAAACCCAACGGTGTGGATTTTGATCACAGTTGCAGTGGATTTGGGTTTAAACACATTCCGCAGAGATGGGAATGCAGCTCCAAGAGGGCTTCAAGGTGACGGACAGCATCACCACCTCAGTCCATGCTGGAAGGTCCGCCATCTTCGCATAACTCTCCTACCCACCTAGATCGACCTGGAGAATGAAAACTGCGCCTTTTGTTTTTCCAAATGTCTACCAGTCATCCAAAGCGTTGATGAAAATTTCATGACAAAACTCTGACAAGAGCTGGCTGGAGCAAGCTGTTTGTTGGCTGCCAGACAGCGCTGCAAACTGAGAGAAGACGGGGAAACCCTGTGCGCTGCAGGTCCCTCTCTCTTATGTTTGACCTCAGGAGGTTCAGTCCGGACCTATCCCGCGAAGAGAAATCCCCCAGCAATGGGAACCCTGGATCCGTTGCAGTGGAAATTCAGCAGGGCTGCTGAAGGCTCATCTGACGGTTTGGCCAACCCAAAAGTCCACAGATTGTCCGTTTGGAAGTTTGGACTTCTGAAGCTGGGAGCACATGTGCTGTGTGCTCTTGCACGATGATCATCGGATCTTTTTGGCGCATATTTATAGGCCACATAAGTCATGCATTAAACGGCGCCTTGATTGTACGGCATCGCTGTGCAGGACGCCAGGACAGCTAGCAGAATATCATGTGAGGCTGGCTGTGGATGTTGGTGACCGTTTGATTTGTCTGGCAAGTGCTGCCTGCCCCCATGTTGAATCTCACCAATTCAACGCTGCCAAGCTTCTCTGCTTCCGGCATGTGAGTACTCTTTTGAAGCAGCACGCAGCATGAAGGATTCTTTCTCGAACCAAAAGCACTTAGAAACACCATGCTTGACAGCTGAAAGTTTCGGAAACTCAGGTTGGAATCGAGAGGACGGAGCAGTCCAGGCCCTGACAGAGATCTGATGCAAGATCTTGTAACATCAGATGACCTTTCTCCTCCCCCTTAGCAGCAAGAGACAGCTCACAATTTCTGGTGGTCAGTCCTGAAATCATGAAAGTAAATCCTGTATAACTGCAACCGCATCAGGGCTTCAACTCTTCATGCCTGGAACGGGGGGTTTTGCTTTGTCGTCTCATGTGACTGCACGAAAAACACAAAATGAAATTGTGTGGACAATGGTGCGAAAATACACAGCCTATTTGGGCGGTGACCGCTCCATTCTTCCAATTCCACGAAACTTTGGGCGATCAATTCCGTATCATCTTTTTTCACTAGCTTCACATGAGCCCTAGATCTTTCTACGGCGGCCCTCTAAGCCTGCGGAGCCCGTTACATCTCAACACATCCTGCTCCATGTCTCACGATTACAAACTTGAAATGAAGAGATGATACGCTTTGAAATCACTCCGAGTCCTGTCCTTGCGCATACCCAAGCTGCGCCTAAAGAGCTTGTTGGTCCCTGCACCGACACAACCAGGTGCACACATCTTGCAGCCTACTGCTCTATCTCCGAAAAAGGACCAAGAGCTGGGTGAACTCCACTAGATTGTGCTTGTCAAGGTATTCCCGTGCAGCATTGGCCTAGAAAGGGACCCAAACACATGTGAATTCACAGACAGCTGACCACACCTCTTGAATTTGGACGCGCAGCCAACCACAAGAGTCACGAAGTGGCAGAGGTGACTGGGGATGTACGAGTAGCTTCTCTGATCCACCACAAATGGGTTCCATCCAAAGCAGAACTTGGCACTACATGGGCACAAGACATTCCAGGCAATATTCCCGGCCCACCTTCCACCAAACCAAGGTCCATGCATGTTCTTCCAAACCAACATCGTGTCACCCTCGCAAGGTGCTCTGCTGAACATAGATGTCCCGACAGTTGTGATGTCACTGCGTGTCGCCCAAAAACCGCACCAAGCCTGACACATTTCGCAGCAAGAGACCGACCTGATTTCACATTTCCTTTGTAGCGTGTGCTTGCACACTTCCTTTAAATTTCTACCTTTTTCATTGGCGCAAGACAGTCACCAAAAGCAGAAAATGAAATGAAGAAATCTATCACGCAAACAGTCCCTGATGACCATGGTTTCAAGTCTAGTTTGGCAGGTGCGGCCACCTAGGTGAAGGAATGAAGATCAAGCGGCTGCGACTAAAAGAGGTTTCCAAGATCATGTCATGGTGATGTCTTGCTGTAGCTTGCATTGATCTCTAATACCAATGGCCACGCTTGGTGTGGCCAAAACCGCGCCAAAGCCACTGGCTTTCAGCCCTTCGCATCGCCAGCGGCTTGCTAAAAACTGGAATGGGGTCGAACAAAGCGGGACCTCAGCGTCGGGTCAGCTCCAACCTGCGACTCTTGCAAGTGTCACCCGGACCTTAGCACCTAAAATTGCAAAATCATCGTGGCCGATGTAAACATGGCCTTGTCGCCAGGGCCATTCTGACCAAGCTCTCTTTGAGTTGCCATCTCACAGGGTCCAGACGGGCACCGGAAAATAGCAAACGCAGCGAGGTTTGATTTGCCAACGGCATGCTGGACCTTCACGCAGGAAAAAAGGTCTCAACAGCCTGCGCTTGGCCAACCACCTTTCAGCAGTTGCTGTCATTGGCGTCTTGAACACTGGCATTTCAGTTTAGGGAAGGATGTCTTTAATGTCTCTACTTGGTGCACAGACATGCTCATGCTGATCGTAGGCGTTTTGATACCTAGGTTTGAATCTCCTGATTGGCACGCCAATTCGCCCCACTGATAAAACTGATGCTGGAATCTTGGGACATAAGTGAGATGCCTCCAGAACCACAGCTGAAAATCATGATTCTTTGGGTGCTGGCGGGGCTTAGTTCGGTTTGATATCATTGAGCGGTTGGAACTTCGCTCAAAATGAAGCTACTAGTATTGAAGCGGACCAATCATTCTATGACATGAACTTTTCACGGATGATATGACACTATAATTTGTTCCTTTGCGTGGACACACCTTCAATCGAGTTGCGATCTGGCAAATTTCAAACCGCGCACGGGGGAAAACACAGATCAATGAAAGGGACAACTTCGCACTGGAAAGGAAAGAACCCATGCTTTCGTTCTCAGCAGTACCTTGCCAGGCATTCAGGCTGTTTCTTCATTTACATTGGCAGAAGATAAATTTTCTGGCGCAAAACATTGCCTGCTAAAGCAAGGTTCCTTGTTCCATCTGTTGACTGCTCCCAATGGCTGCATTCCACATGTCCTCCAGCATTGCCGTAACAATCCACAGCGATGTGATCGCACGGAACCAAAAACAAAATGCGTCGGTTCCGAATGCCCCGAATGTGGCGATGCTTCGAAAGTCGAGCAAACAATTGGCACACCCGAGGCCCAAGCCCTGGAGCACGTGGCAGCGGATGCAGAGAAACTCAGTTCCAGCCAATTTGCCTGCATGGGAAAAAAACAAAGGATGGCAAACTCGCATTCAAAACGATGTAAATCATCTACAATGTTGGCAAAACAAGGAAAAGGAATGAAAAGGACTAGCAATAATCAGAACCCAAACTAAATCAAACATCGATCATTTTGCATCGAGCCCAAATCCCGCCATCCAATTCTACTCTGCAAAGCGCTCAGAAACAAACCCTAACACCCCACAGGAGAAGACTTGCTTGCAACCTAAAAACTGCGCATACTTATGTCATCGGATTGACAAGCATTCCCATCGCCAAAGGAATCTGGGAAAAAATAATTGTAAAACTGTTGGATCCGAATCCGCATTGCAGTTTCATTGCGTTTTGTGTCCCCTGCCCAAATCTATACATTCAACTGCAACTGCAACATTCCATCATACCGGACATGTTCGATTCAAGACTGGTTTTGGGACTTTTTGTTTTACTATGCTTCAGTATTTCAAAATCGTACTTTTCATCCGAATGTTCCTCGGTTTGACCGGTGCAGATTCCGTATTATGCAGTTGAAATTGGCTCTCCAAAACTCTTCATTCGTTGTGGCTCCCTTGGTACATGGACATGTTGGACCTAAGGCCAAACCCTCTCGGGCCCTTCACATCTTTTTTCCGCCGCCCTGGGCTCTGGGCCTCCAGCAGTGCAGACTGGGAGGAATGTGGCTTGAAAGCCAAATATGGACTTGAGAAGGCCGCACCCCAACAAATATGCAAACAACGCGCGGCACAAGTGGGACAAGGATGACAAGGGGTGAGATATGAGTTTGTCGTAGACGTGAAATTTGACAGTGCTGGGAGCCTGCAAACCAGTTGTCAACAATCATAGCCAACTGCAAGGAAAGGGACCATAGAACAACGCGGCCTGCGCTTGGGCGCTCAAACCACCACTTCTGCGACGTCGCACCATGGCCCCAGCCAAGGTCCTGGTATGCTCTTGAGATGTCGGTGTCAAATGGAACCGCAAGGGTCATGTCATTTTGGTTCTCCTCATAACTGCCTATCCTCATGAGAAACCCGCCTCTTTCCTGGAGCGCTATCCTCATTTTTGCTGTGCTAGTCTTTGGGGAGCTGGAGCGGCCCTTGCACCGCTCTGCAACTGGGAGGTTTTGATCTGAGGTCTAGCGATGATCAACAAGCCGGTGTCCCTCACCATGCTTGCTTAGACTTGATCACTCGATGTTGGGTGGCAATCTTGGACAACTTGTCCTATGATGTTTGCTGCATGTTGGAACTCCTGTACAGTAATTTGGCAATGGAACATCCATCATTGAGAGATGATTCACTGTTAAACTTGGGTCCAGCGCTGTTTTTGACGGGAAGATCAATTGGCTCTTTGAACAGCTCCCGGCACCTTCAAACGACTTGTGCGGCGCAAAGGAAGGGCAGCTTGGGTCCCCTTGGCGCTGCGGAACCGACGAGGCTTGGTAGGCGTGGATGGTCGAAAGCATGGAACCTGAGCAGCATCTGATTTGTGCAGCGTCTCTGTACAGACCCGCAAAGCTCAGGTCTGGTATTGTCTTGTCGCTTCTCTCTACTGACTGACTGCTGATCACCCTCTTTGGGATCGGCCGATGCAATATATTAATTACCTCTCTATAAGTATAAGATGTATACTGTATAAGCGTAGACAAAAGAAACTATGATCAGAATCATGCAAGTCTATTGTGCTGCATCTCTCCATGACTCTAAGACAAACTCGTATCAACTTCTCGCCTCTGGCACGAACGTCCCATGTCCGCCCCAGAAACAAGGTAAGACGTTGCTCAATCAAGCAATCGCAAGACCCACCAAATCGCAGTGTCGGGCAACTCACGCGCTCGTCTTGTCCTATGACTTCGCAGCGCTCCTCTGGGTCTTCTTGAAGATTGAAGAGCCGGGGTCGATGGTCATCTGTGAGGTTCAGGAGCTTCGAGAAGTTCCTGCAGACCAATCAAAGCAGCCGGCGAAGACAGTCGTTTCAGTGCGTCTGTTCGCGCCATCCCTGGTGACAACCTGAATATTTTTTTCAGCCTTCTAGAACGTGACTTTGGGCGGTAAATGGAACATATGCGGGCAACAACCAGCCATGGATTTCATCTTATAAACATTTATAAACTATATTCGAATTTTCTTGAAAACATCACCAATCCCGGACCTTAACATCGACATGGATAGTTTGTGCATGTGAAATTCAAAAGATATGCAATGCTTGCTCACATACCCTGCCACACACATTGCACCCTATAGGTCGCTTGTGGTCGCCATCTTGTTGATTTACCTCCAGCTACTCCCGTATGCATGAAATCGCATATGCATCAAAAATCGCAATAAATATAGCATTGAACATATACATGACGAGTGAGCATACCCTCGTATTGCATATTGGAACAAGGTGTATGCAGTACCTACGCTATAGGCCCTCTCCACTAACTTCTCAGATCTTCTCAGATCTTCTCAGATCTTCTCAGCATATCCCCAACTGCCATACGCATACGCCATATCTCCTCCACCAGGGCGGATGATCTCCGGAGCCACCACCCGTACCCACAATGAGCTTCCAGTGGCCCGACCGCAGAGCAGGACCATGGTGCCCCACGGATGAGTCCGAGAGTCCATAGTAGAGCTCGCGGCGAGGAGACGGCAAGTTTCCTGCACTGCTGCACTGCTGCCCAAGCTCCAGTGATCTTGTGCCTAGTGATGAATGAGTTTCTTGAACCATCAAAGCTGATTGCCTTGGGAATGTTGAAGCAACTAGCAACTTTGTCGGCCATAGATGCTGGCAGCACAGCTTGCCGAATCTTGCCAGAAAACTTTGTTGTACAGGTGCGGCTCTAACAATATCTCTTTTGATCAATGCTGCTGATACCAGACAAAAGGAAAGGAGTTGGATTCAAAATAATGCGACCCAAGGTCCGATGAGTTGCTTCCAAACCTGCAGTGAGTCAGTCGGGGCTATTCTCATCAGCATGCAAGCATACGTTTGTGGTGGGCTTCAAACACTCGTCTCAGCTCGAATATTCCAATATCTAGCCAAGCTGTCGGCATCACATGAGTATAAGGCGCACGTGACGAACCCGTGAAAGAATGTGCAATCAATAAGGCGCAAAAGATTTACACTTCTCGGTCAAAGAGGAAACCACAGCCCTTGATGTTGATGAGAAGCATTCATGCCATCAAGAGGTTTGGTGGCACCTGGAAGGATCCTGGCCGCAAAACCACAGCACTTGTGGGTGACCACTAATTGTTTTGGCAGCCATCACGATGCAGCGCTGCAGTTTACAAGTTCCAATGCATCCTTTTCTATCTTTCATCCCGGCAAAATTGGCAAATTCAACATGTGCGCTTTCGGGCATGATCGCTTTATCAAATCAATAGTGCCCCAAAGCTTCCCAGTCTCTCCTCTGCTCAGCAGCCCCTTCCACTAGAGTCGGGAGCCAGTCAGCACCATGCATCAGACCCTGCCAAGCAAAGTTCTGCTGAGCATATCCTGAAGCAGTGGCTTGGAAGGAAGCTGGGCACATGGCAAAAAAAACATCAACGACCCCAACTTCAATACCAAAAGTGCAATTTCACCGGAGAGTGGCCAGCTTTGTCTTGATTGTCTTGGAGAGTGTAAGATTTTGCAGCTTTTCAATTCTTTTTCAAGATATTTCTTAAGATGGTCTAAGTCGGTCTAAGTTGGTCCCCACTAGCCCCAAGAGGTGGTGGAGCGATCGTCGTCCGCAAAATGATGCAAACGACCCAACCCCGAGCAACCCCGAGCCCCAAGGAGAACATCTGTAACAACTGTTTCACATTGTTTCTCATTGTTTCTCATTGCTTCTCCGTCCAGAGAATGCTTGAGGCACTTGCTACAACCTTGCGAACATATCACAAAACTCAAAGTTTCTGAGTCAGCACCGACGGGTGGAATGCCAAGAGGGATACTTCGTATAGATTTCACTACAGCCAAGTCGGCTTTAGACTGAAGTCACACCCAAAATACCCAAAGATTTCTGAAAATTTCTGAAGCATAGCCAAGATCTCTAGGAGCGAACAGCAATGAGGTGCCACGAGTGCCGCCTTCCCACAAGGAGCATTTACCTCCTGAAAAATGGACTGTTCGATGTGTGATACAAAAGAACAAAATCCCGGGCAAAAATCTTGCCATAAAAGGTTGAAGCCCGAATGAGTTCACAAAGACACGATCAGTGAGGAAAGGCTGAACGGACCTCTTGCACTCTCTCTTACTCTTTCTCTCTGTGATTCTGGCATTGACGTCCAACACCTTTAGCTTTCGATGCTTTCGGAACCTCCTAGGCCTCCCAGCACTCCAAAATCTGGACATTGCGGAAAAATACGCCCGTGGCAATCCGTGGCACCGGTTTCCTCTAAGGGGTCGGTTCGAAGCGCCAATGCCTGCACAGTCCACAATGGGACCACCATTGTCTGTGGTAACGATGACGACCTCAGCAACCAAAAGGATATATGAATTATATGATATATGGCTTGTTATTAATAACTGACTTAATATAACTTATTATGGTTTTCTCTGCAGGCCACCTGCTGCCCCACATGCAGCTAATAGAATTCCTCACCAGAAGCAGAAAAATGGCGCTTCATCTTAAATTGATTTGCAAGTTCAAAATTCGGGCCAATATATTTGCCAAGATGTTAAAACTCACTTTGGCATGTTTGGCATGTTTGGTTGTTTGGATTTGTTTGGTTCCTTTGGCACATTTTGGCACATTTTGGCACATTTTGGCACATTCGACGTCGAGCATGTCGAGCCACTGAGTTCGCCAACATTTTTTTCTCTTCCAACGCTTTGGTGATGTTCCCAATGCCTTCGTCCACTGCCGTGACCATCCCCGCGAAGGCGCGCCGGGCCGTGTCGTTGATTCGATGCAGGTAAGGCTCCACCTTGACACACCCGCAACGCCCGCAACTTGGGGTGGTGGTAAGCCAAACAAATCACAACATGGCTATAAATCCATGTCAAAATATGTCAAAATATGTCAAATACCTTTTCTTCCTACTTTTGATCATGAACATTTGCGTCAAAATTCTGGTCAATCAAGGATGGAACGGGAAACATGTTGCACCAATAAAAAGCCAGCGCCAACTTTGACTGGCGTGCAATGGCTGCAATGGCCTATTTGACGGAAACGTCAGCCAACATTCGGTTCACACTAGGTTCAAAACGAAAAGTCAGAAACAAGATGCCCTCACCCCAAAGGATGTCACATTGGCTTTCCCGTAATTTAGGTCATGACGCACATGCCTCATTTCCTGTTTGATCAGCTCATGGCGTCTTAGTTCAGCCAGGACTCGTAATACTCTGGAACCTGCCTTGGCGCGTGAACGCCCTGCCAGGCTTGATAAAGGAACAGCGGCTCCTGGGATCCCATCTCAAAGCTCCATTTCTCGATGCGACGTTTTGACACACGAAGTCACACGAAGGTCACACGAAGCAGAAGGCTAAGATTCTCTCAGGGTAGCACTGAATACCACGCGATGCACCTGCTAGAACATCTAGAACCTGTGCTTTTTAATTGCGCCGTTTGTTTCCGCAGCTTTTCTTATCTCCACATCTTTTGGATTGCCAATTCGCATGCTGCCAAGTCTCGGATGCATTGTGCCGATCGATGATCCGAAGAGCTTCGTCTGCGAAGAGGTTGGTGGAGTACCTACGCCAGGAGTCAGCCATGACATGCCATGCGATCTCTGAAACATCACTTCAACACAGCAGGACGCATAGCTTTAAAAAATGCATCCAACTTTATAGATTCTCATTGAACTGTCATGATTGTGATTTGTCAAACGGGGATGTGTTGGTGCGAGGCAAAGGGATTTCCAGGGGTGTACCCGGACCCCTACTTTGTAAGAACAATCAACTGTAATCAACCCTTCCTAATCTCAGTTGCTACAAAGTAGGGGCCCAAGGCAACAAACCGAGATACAAAATGACAAGACCAACCTCATGCAACCCATCTACAAAGTAACACAACCAACCCCACAAAGTAACACAACCAACCCCTTGTTCTACCGAGCCTTCATTTTGTATTTTTTTTCACTTTGTAGTGGGGTCGTATGGGATCATTTACGCTACCTCTGCTCCAATACAGCGAGGCAGAACAAATTACAAACACCCAACACAAAACCTTTGGTCTGAATCTGGCCCGAAAAAGCTTGCAGAATGATTTTTTAAAGAGGCAGTTTATCAAAAAAACTTCAAAACGCCTGTTATTGCGGCATTTCTGCAGTCTTTATGGTTTTCCAGTTTGTCAGGGATGAGACGTGGTTAAGCCTTTATTTAGATGCTTTGGCCAAGATTTTGTGCGGCCATAAGCAGCAGGAACAGTTTTTCGACAAAGTCTATGGCAACAAAGTGGCAGGAACGGTTTTTGAACAAAGTCTATGGCAACAAAGTGGCAGGAACAGTTTTTGGACAAAGTCTATGGCAACAAAGTGGCAGGAACAGTTTTTGGACACAGTCTATGGCAACAAAGTGGCAGGAACGGTTTTTGCACAAAGTCTATGGCAACAAAGTGGCAGGAACAGTTTTTGGACAAAGTCTATGGCAACAAAGTGGCAGGAACAGTTTTTGGACACAGTCTATGGCAACAAAGTGGCAGGAACAGTTTTTGGACAAAGTCTATGGCAACAAAGTGGCAGGAACAGTTTTTGGACAAAGTCTATGGCAATAAAGTGACAGGAACAGTTTTTCGACAAAGTCTATGGCAACAAAGTGGCAGGAACAGCTTTTGGACAAAGTCTATGGCAACAAAGTGGCAGGAACAGTTTTTGGACAAAGTCTATGGCAACAAAGTGACAGGAACAGATTTTTGGACACAGTCTATGGCAACAAAGTGGCAGAAACAGATTTTTGACAAAGTCTATGGCAACAAAGTGGCAGGAACAGTTTTTGGACAAAGTCTATGGCAACAAAGTGGCAGGAACAGTTTTTGGACAAAGTCTATGGCAACAAAGTGGCAGGAACAGTTTTTGGACACAGTCTATGGCAACAAAGTGGCAGGAACAGTTTTTGGACAAAGTCTATGGCAACAAAGTGGCAGGAACAGTTTTTGGACAAAGTCTATGGCAACAAAGTGGCAGGAACAGTTTTTGGACACAGTCTATGGCAACAAAGTGGCAGAAACAGTTTTTCGAGAAAGTCTATGGCAACAGAGTGGCAGGAACAGTTTTTGGACACAGTCTATGGCAACAAAGTGGCAGAAACAGATTTTTGACAAAGTCTATGGCAACAAAGTGGCAGGAACAGTTTTTGGACAAAGTCTATGGCAACAAAGTGGCAGGAACAGTTTTTGGACAAAGTCTATGGCAACAAAGTGGCAGGAACAGTTTTGGACAAAGTTATAGCAACAAAGTGGGAAGAAACAGTTTTTGGACAAAGTCTATGGCAACAAAGTGGCAGGAACAGTTTTTGGACAAGTCTACAAAAAGTGGCAGTACAAGTGGCAACAAAAAGTTGGCAGGCAACAGTTTTTTTGGACAAAGTCTATGGCAACAAAGTGGCAGGAAGAACAGTTTTTGGCATGGCAACAAAAGTTTATATGGCAACAAAGTGGCAGGAACAGTTTTGGACAAAGTCTATGGCAACAAAGTGGCAGGAACAGTTTTTGGACAAAGTTATGGCAACAAAGTGGCAGGAACAGTTTTTGGACAAAGTCTATGGCAACAAAGTGGCAGGAACAGTTTTTGGACAAAGTCTATGGCAACAAAGTGGCAGGAACAGTTTCTGGACAAAGTCTAGGGCAGCAAAGTGGCAGGAACAGTTTTGCGACAAAGTCTATGGCAAAAAAGTGGCAGGAACAGTTTTTGGACAAAGTCTATGGCAACAGAGTGGCAGGAACACTTTTTGGACACAGTCTATGGCAACAAAGTGGCAGAAACAGTTTTTCGACAAAGTCTATGGCAACAAAGTGTCAGGAACAGTTTTTGGACAAAGTCTATGGCAACAAAGTGGCAGGAACAGATTTTGGACAAAGTCAATGGCAACAAAGTGGCAGGAACAGTTTTTCGACAAAGTCTATGGCAACAAAGTGGCAGGAACGGTTTTTGAACAAAGTCTATGGCAACAAAGTGGCAGGAACAGTTTTTGGACAAAGTCTATGGCAACAAAGTGGCAGGAACAGTTTTTGGACAAAGTCTATGGCAACAAAGTGGCAGGAACAGTTTTTGGACAAAGTCTATGGCAACAAAGTGGCAGAAACAGTTTTTGGACAAAGTCTATGGCAACAAAGTGGCAGGAACAGTTTTTGGACAAAGTCTATGGCAACAAAGTGGCAGGAACAGTTTTGGACAAAGTCTATGGCAACAAAGTGGCAGGAACAGTTTTTGGACAAAGTCTATGGCAACAAAGTGGCAGGAACAGTTTTTGGACAAAGTCTATGGCAACAAAGTGGCAGGAACAGGTTTTGGACAAAGTCTATGGCAACAAAGTGGCAGGAACAGTTTTTGGACAAAGTCTATGGCAACAAAGTGGCAGGAACAGTTTTTGGACAAAGTCTATGGCAACAAAGTGGCAGGAACAGTTTTTGGACAAAGTCTATGGCAACAAAGTGGCAGGAACAGTTTTTGGACAAAGTCTATGGCAACAAAGTGGCAGGAACAGTTTTTGGACAAAGTCTATGGCAACAAAGTGGCAGGAACAGTTTTTGGACAAAGTCTATGGCAACAAAGTGGCAGGAACAGTTTTTGGACAAAGTCTATGGCAACAAAGTGGCAGGAACAGTTTTTGGACAAAGTCTATGGCAACAAAGTGGCAGGAACAGTTTTTGGACAAAGTCTATGGCAACAAAGTCTATGGCAACAAAGTGGCAACAGTTTTTTGGACAAAGTCTATGGCAACAAAGTGGCAGGAACAGTTTTTGGACAAAGTCTATGGCAACAAAGTGGCAGGAACAGTAAAGTCTATGGCAACAAAGTCAGTATGGCAACAGAGTGGCAGGAACAGTTTTGACAAAGTCTATGGCAACAAAGTGGCAGGAACAGTTTTTCGATAGCAACAAAGTGGCAGAAACAGTTTGGCAACAAAGTGGAAGGAACAGTTTTTGGACAAAGATGCAACAAAGTGGCAGGAACAGTTTTGACAAAGTGGCAACAAAGTTTCTGTCTATGGCAACAAAGTGGCAGGAACAGTTTTTCTATGGCACAAAGTGGAAGAACAGTTTTTGGATGGCAACAAAGTGGCAGGAACAGGACAACTTATGGCAACAAAGTTGGCAGGAACAGTTTTTGGACACAGTCTATGGCAACAAAGTCGCAGGAACAGTTTTTGGACAAAGTCTATAGCAACAAAGTGGCAGAAACAGTTTTTGGACAAAGTCTATGGCAACAAAGTGGCAGGAACAGTTTTTGGACACAGTCTATGGCAACAAAGTGGCAGAAACAGTTTTTCGATAAAGTCTATGGCAACAAAGTGTCAGGAACAGTTTTTTGGACAAAGTCTATGGCAACAAAGTGGCAGGAACAGTTTTTGGACAAAGTCTATGGCAACAAAGTGGCAGGAACAGTTTTCAACAAAGTCTATGGCAACAAAGTGGCAGGAACAGTTTGGACAAAGTCTATGGCAACAAAGTGGCAGGAACAGTTTTTGGACAAAGTTTGGCAACAAAGTGGCAGGAACAGTTTTTGGACAAAGTCTATGGCAACAAAGTGGCAGGAGCAGTTTTTGGACAAAGTCTATGGAAACAAAGTGGCAGGAACAGTTTTTGGACAAAGTCTATGGCAACAAAGTGGCAGGAACAGTTTTTGGACAAAGTCTATGGCAACAAAGTGGCAGGAACAGTTTTTGGACAAAGTCTATGGCAACAAAGTGGCAGGAACAGTTTTTGGACAAAGTCTATGGCAACAAATTGGCTGGAACAGTTTTTGGACAAAGTCTATGGCAACAAAGTGGCAGGAACAGTTTTTCGAGAAAGTCTATGGCAACAAAGTGGCAGGACCAGTTTTTCGACAAAGTCTATGGCAACAAAGTGGCAGGAACAGTTTTTGGACAAAGTCTATGGCAACAAAGTGGCAGGAACAGTTTTTGGACAAAGTCTATGGCAACAAAGTGGCAGGAACAGTTTTTGGACAAAGTCTATGGCAACAAAGTGGCAGGAACAGTTTTTGGACAAAGTCTATGGCAACAAAGTGGCAGGAACAGTTTTTGGACAAAGTCTATGGCAACAAAGTGGCAGGAACAGTTTTTGGACAAAGTCTATGGCAACAAAGTGGCAGGAACAGTTTTTGGACAAAGTCTATGGCAACAAAGTGGCAGGAACAGTTTTTGGACAAAGTCTATGGCAACAAAGTGGCAGGAACAGTTTTTGGACAAAGTCTATGGCAACAAAGTGGCGGAACAGTTTTTTGGACAAGTCTATGCACAAGTGGCAGGAACAGTTTTTGGACAAAGTCTATGGCAACAAAGTGGCAGGAACAGTTTTTGGACAAAGTCTATGGCAACAAAGTGGCAGGAACAGTTTTTGGACAAAGTCTATGGCAACAAAGTGGCAGGAACAGTTTTTGGACAAAGTCTATGGCAACAAAGTGGCAGGAACAGTTTTTGGACAAAGTCTATGGCAACAAAGTGGCAGGAACAGTTTTTGGACAAAGTCTATAGGCAACAAAGTGGCAGAAACAAAGTGGCAGGAACATTTTTTGGACAAAGCCTATGGCAACAAAGCCTATGGCAGGAACAGTTTTTGGACAAAGTCTATGGCAACAAAGTGACAGGAACAGTTTTTGGACAAAGTCAATGGCAGCAAAGTGGCAGGAACAGTTTTTGGACAAAGTCTATGGCAACAAAGTGGCAGAAACAGTTTTTGGACAAAGTCTATGGCAACAAAGTGGCAGGAACAGTTTTTGGACAAAGTCTATGGCAACAAAGTGGCAGGAACAGGTTTTGGACAAAGTCTATGGCAACAAAGTGGCAGGAACAGTTTTTGGACAAAGTCTATGGCAACAAAGTGTCAGGAACGTTCGACAAAGTCTATGGCAACAAAGTGGCAGGAACAGATTTTGGACAAAGTCAATGGCAACAAAGTGGCAGGAACAGTTTTTGGACAAAGTCTATATGGCAAAAAAGTGACAGGAACAGTTTTTGGACAAAGTCTATGGCAACAAAGTGGCAGGAACAGTTTTTGGACAAAGTCTATGGCAACAAAGTGGCAGGAACAGTTTTTGGACAAAGTCTATATGGCAACAAAGTGGCAGGAACAGTTTTTGGACAAAGTCTATATGGCAAGAAAGTGGCAGGAGCAGCATTTGTGAGACAAACGAATGATTGTACGTGTGAGTATGCCCATTCCTCGTTTGATCACGTTTGTTGATTCTTGAGGGTGCCCCAAGCAATGGTTTTGAAACCCTTTTCACAACATTTCGGGGCACCTCAGTTTTTGAATACCATACCCAACCCTCAACACAAAACCTTTGGTCTGAATCTGGCCCGAACAGTTTCCAGCATGAAGTTCTTTTTTGATTAGGGAGTTGAGATAAACGAAACAGTTACTGTATCACCAAAAGAATGTGCTTTCTTTAAAGTTGACCTTCCATGTTGACTTCTACAAAGTGAAAAGGTCTTCAACTAGGGGTCTTATGGGTCCCACTTGCCTGCATGGATGACATACGATCCTATGAGTCCCCTACAAAATGACAAGTCCAGGAGCAAAAGGATATTCCGAATATTCCATGCTATTCCAACCCATCACTCTGCAGTCACCAAGGGACTGATTCACATCTTGCCATGCCAGTTGGGTGCAGCCAGGTCCACAACGGGGCTGACTCTCCTGCGCAAGGCGAAGCCAAAGTCACGCAGAAGACTCAGTCCATTCCAAGGTGTTTCTAAGACAAGTTTTGCACAAGGTAAAAAGATGGTAAATTCGGTACTGGTCATGAGATGTCATGAGCATATAACCATCAGACATGCGTAGATGAACATCTCACAGTGTAGATGACCCTGTCAAACTGCGTCTATTTTAGATGCGAAAGCCAGGATGCCAGGTGAAGATACCAAACAAATACTACTGGTAGGCCCTGTCGCACCAATTTAGCCAAGCTTATCTTAGCGGCGTTTATGTGAATCGCGTCATGATTCTGGGAAGCATCATGAAGGATCGCCAATAGCCACATGAGAACATAAGCTTTTGGGGTCACACGCCCAAAGTGATCAAAGTGTAGAATGCGAGACTCTACGAGACTGAGGGAGACTGAGGGGTTGTTGAGCAGTTGTTGCACTGCTGAGCGGAATGTCAACACCAAACGCCACCACAGCTGTCCCGATGGAGATCGAAACCTCCACTGGTGACATGTTTGAAGTAATCCTGAGGGAAACCAAACGGGAAGTAACACTTTGTCACTTGCAATGATCATCCAGTCTTCCATGTGAGGCTGTTGGAAGAAAACAGAGCCTCTCGCAAAAATTTGCGGTAAAAATGAAACGGAATTCGGACAAACAACACAAATCCATTCCACTTTTGGCACCGTTGGATCTGGACCGCAATGTTATTGCAAGGTTTTGTATGGCTGTCGCAAACGTTGGAAGCGAAATCAAATGTCCAGCAAGGGGCCTTTGAAAAGGGTCGCCCAGGCTTGAATTGCACCCGGTGGTTTTGTGACAACAAAGAGATAAGATACCCTAAGCGTCCCTGAGCTATTGGCTTACCATTCAAACTGGCGCCATTGGATGATGGATTTCGCAGTACTGTCTTCCGTTTTTGATTTCGTACCATCCCCACCCAGAAGGCTACAGTACAAAAACACCAAAACAAAGAAAGTCTGACTGCATGATTTGTAGCCGGACTTTGAGCTTGAGGCTTCCCAGATGAAGCAAAGCAGCTCTTGATGTGTGCTTTGCATCTTCTTTCTTCGTTCTGTCTTTGGCTTGCACACACCAAAACGGAGAATATGCGTGCTACTTTAAACTCTTTAGGAAAACTGGCCGTAAGATACCTTGGCATAAGCAGTCATAAGCTTTCCCTGTGGCGCGCAAGTCTCATGGAATCTGGGCCGAGATTCCTCTGAGCCTTCGTAATATCCGTAGAAAGAATCGAACCCTCTGAAGGTCGGTGTGTACTCTGTCCTTGGGTAAGCGAGTGAAAAAAATTAGCCACGAGCGCTAGGGGGCGAAACGGCTGGTGTCTAGACATGATCAAAAACACTCGATCATCAAAAGCTTACCGCCGCTGCTAAGCATCTGGAAAAATCCCAAGTGCCACTTGCCCACAGCATGGCACTTGTAGCCGGCCGTACCTGCCAGCTGCACCAACAAAGCAAAAAAAAAGAAGCAACGCAAGGAAATAGAACTGCTGAACTTACAAGTGTCAGCAAAGAAACATCATGAGACATCCCATCTATGCACTTCTAAGCGCAATCCAAACGATTTCTGCCCAAACACTGAGCAACTGCGGCAAGGTCGTCTCTCCCAGAGGCAATCCATAAGCCTTGTTGGGAATCCAGTCGTTGATGCCTCGCAATCAGCAAACCCCCAACAACCTGCGCCCCCCACATGACATGTTAACAACCTGACATATCCACTACATATCCCGAATATGTCCAAATCGTCGAACCTGTGTGCAACGGCATGCGGCCACTCATGAACGTTGCCCTGCTGGGCGAACACGAGGGCTGGACATAGTACTGGTTCAAAGTGATGCCCTTCTCATGGAACATGTTCCTCAGGTTTTCTTTCGCACCATGTGGGCCTTGCCCGATTCTTTTCTTATAAGCACTTTAAATTAAAGTGAACTAAGTGAACGCTTGAACATGGGGTCCTCCAAACTCTCACCGAGCAAGTACGCTTGCCTACCAGCCCATCACGGGCCCATCACGGTGGAACAATGTGGAGCATGAAGTGAGCAATGCCTGACTTGCGCCACAGCTTGCCTTCAAAGCGTCAAGGTCGGTGTTGAAATCTGCTGGTTTCGAAAACCGGGATCATCCCAGCCAAAGTCATCAATCCTTTGCTGATTGGCCGGGCACGACCTGTCCTCTGGTTTGCAACACACGTCCAAGTCTTGACTATATCCACTGAAACTAGTCACATAAACAACCAGGAAGAAGACATAGGTTAGAGCAGGGACGAATGAAGCGGAAAAGAAACACATGTTCGGCACTTGCATGAAAGACGATGGCAGCGAGACTTCTTCAAGTTGGGTCTTTGTTTCAGGCTCACGCAGTGGCAAAAACTGACGAACCTGGCCATCTGAACCCAACAACTGCAGGCAAGGTTCACATGGAAAATGATGTGAGGCTTCGCCGCTTCAGAAGGAAGGAAAACCAGCGCAAATCTCGTGAACCAAACCAGCCATCCGCTGCAGAACATGGCCCGTTTCCAACGAAAGGATTTATATACACACATATTATATATATAATAGGGCAGGGCTGACGCAAGACTTTGGATCTTGGTAGAGCCAACAGTTGGACCAAGTGGGCTGCGCAAACCAAAGCCTGCTTATATGGGAACCCTATCTCAAATTCTAGGCGTCAAAGTCCATGTAAACCTGGGCAGATTATGCGCCAATTTACTTGTTGGCTAGCCAGCTTGCCATTGTAGGTTTGGTGAAAGTCATGCATTTTGGGCCCAAAAACTTCATGAACGCACCATGGCAACCGCCATAAAATGCGCCCAGCCAACCTGCGTTTGTGACCCATCTTCCCAGAGCTCGGAATTTGCTTTGGAATGCGTTCAACGATTGACAATAATCTCTCTAAGTGTCACATCCCTCTCCCTATGCGTGCCTTTCTCTCCATGAAAAAAAATATGTAAACACACACACACAAACGCACAAACAAAATCATGCACACACCTGCGTGTTATCCTGTGCTACGCATGTGCCTGTACGCAGAGCGGAACAGGCACCAAGGCAGTGGGAAACTCAGACTGGATCGGTATGGGTTTTGCCAGGCTGATTGGACGTTTTTTAAATGTATGTTTTGCAATTGTTAGCTCCTTGATGACTTCTTGTATGATGCTGTGGGGATTGAACTCCAAGGATTCTCATCAAAATTTTTAGTTCAAATGTTCGGCCACATTCCTTGCAACATCTTATCCAAATTTTCGATTCATCGCTTTCTCGAATCAGGTCGGAAATATTGATCTGAGACGAAGAGACGATGAATGCGTCTTGGGCTCAAACGGATGACCGCTGAGTGCAGCATCTTTGTTGATTGGGATGTTTCCATTATTTTTCTCTTAGCCACTTTGAATCCCTTCTCTGCTCGAAACAAAGAACATCCGTTTGAAGGTCTCCATTTCTTCACTTTATGGTTTTCTTGCCATGCTTTCATGGCACTGCAGCATGGCATGGCCAAAGGCGCGCTACCATTCACTGCTCTTCAGGCAGCCCGCTCGATCTTGATGTCAGTCGAAACTTCTCACCCCTTCCTCGCTGGGAAGTTTTGCAGACTTTGTTTACCTTACAGTGTTGATGTCTATCATCAAATCATATTCTGAGTCCGGTGACTCAGTCAGTATGGATTTATGCCAGTGGTAAATAACAAGAGACACCAACTAACCCGAATGCAGTCACGTAAAAACACTTTTGTGAAACAAAACTTGAACAGTCGAACAGTCTTGTAGATTGCTCCATTTTGACCCTGTTGCCGTCCCAGTGCACTGTATACTGTGGAATGGGGAAGGGGGTGGAGGGCAAAGTGTGGAGCGTGAAGAAAGTGGAGTGTTGAGTGGGGAATGTAGCGTGTTGAGTGTGAAGTGGGGATTGTGGAGTGTGGAGTGTGAAGTGTAAAGTGTGGGGTGGAATGCGAGTAAAGTGTAAAGAGTGTAAAGTCTAAAGTGTGGAGTGTAAAGTGTAGAGTGTAGTGTGGAGAGTAAAGTGTACAGTGTGGCGTGTGTAGTGTAAAAAGTAGCGTAGGGTGTAGAGCGCGACGTATAAAGTGTAGTGGGGAGCGTAGAGTGTGGAGTGTAAAGTGCAGAGTGTAAAGTGTAAAGTGTAGAGTGTGGAGAGTAAAGTGTGGAGTGTGGAGTTTGGAGTGTGAAGTGTAAAGTGTAGAGCGTGGAGTGCAGAGTGTGGAGAGAGGAGTGTGAAGTGTAAAGTGCAAAGTGTGGAGTGTAAAGTTTAACGTGTGAAGTGTGGAGTTTGAAATGTAAAGTGTAGAGTGTAAAGTGTAGCGTGCGGAGTTTGGCGTATCAAGTTGAGAGTGTGGAGTCTGGAATGTAAAGTGTGGAGTGTGAGGTGTGTAAATCGACAAGTGTAGAGTGTGGAGTGTGAAGTGTAAAGTGTAAAGTATAAAGTGTGGAGTTTTGTGGAGAGGAGAGTGTAAAGTGCAAAGTGTAGAGTGTGGAGAAGTGGAGAGGGGAGTGTAGAGTGAAAAGCGAAGAGTGTGGTGTGTGGAGCGAGGGGGGTTAAAGTGTGGAGTGTAGAGTGTAAAGTGTGGAGTGTAAAGTGTAAAGCGTGGAGTGCAAGGTGTAGAGTGTGGAGTGTGGGGTTTTGACTGTGAAGTGTAGAGTGTAGAGTGTGGAGTGTAAAGTGTAAAATATAAAGCGTGGAGTGTGGAGTGTAGTGTCACGTGTGGAGCGCGCGGAAAGTGGAGTGTGGAGTGTGGAGTGTAAATGCAAAGTGTGGAGTGCAAAGTGTAAGTGTGTGGAGTGTAAAGTGTATAGTGTGGAGTTGGAGTGTAAAGTGTAGAGCGCAGAGTGTGGAGTGTAAAGTGTAAAGCGTGAAGTGTAGAGTGTGCTAAATACTGCGCCTGCCCCGAAAAATGACATGCCACACACGATGGAACGTCACGAAATGCTGTGCTTGCCACGCAAAATGAGACTCCGTGTGAGGCTTCCGTCAATTTTCATCACATGTCACAAAATGCCACGCCTGCCACGGAATTTGCACCTTCTCACCACGTCGCGCAGCCCTGACAATGCGATTCGCAAAACACGCGACGCGACACGTCTGAAGTGCTGTGCCTGCCACGCAAAATGACGATGGAATTCTCCAAAGTGCTGCGCCTGCCACGAAAAATGCAACTCATCTTCTGAAAGCGACGCAAAAGTATAGCGCCTGCCACACAAAACAACTTTCGGCACTTTTGCAGACACGTCAGAATGTCAGGAAGTGCCACGCCTGCCACGCAAAATGACGTCACAACGTGCTTTAGCGCCTTCGGAAAGGAGAGCTTTTGCAGCTTCCCCAATTCACAGGGCGACGGCTAAAGAAAACCAGAGAATCGAGACAAGACATGTTGGGCCCTCAAAGCGAGCATTTCCTACAAATTCTTCGCATTTTCACACTTCGTAGCTTCAAAATCGATGTTTTCGTACAAGTTTTCTCATAAACCTCAAAATTTACTGCCTCAAAACCGTCGATGTTTCGTGTGAGGCGTCCGTCAATTTTCATCACATGTCACAAAATGCCACGCCTGCCACGGAATTTGCACCTTCTCACCACTTCGCGCAGCCCTGACAATGCGATTCGCAAAACACGCGACGCGACACGTCTGAAGTGCTGCGCCTGCCAGGCAAAATGACGATGGAGTTCTCCAAAGTGCTGCGCCTGCCACGAAAAATGCAACTCATCTTCTGAAAACGACGCAAAAGCATTGCGCCTGCCACGCAAAACGATTTTCGACGCGTTATGAAACATGTTTTGGAATGAGTGCCACGCCTGCCACACGACGTTTGAAACCTCCAAAAGTGACCGCTTTTGCAGAACTCGCCATAGGCACGGCCATTTTACCCCCACGACGGTGGCTCGCGGGCGGTTGCAAACGGTTGCTGACGGTTGCGAACACCAAAGCAGCGTCGAGCGAACACGTCTCACCCAGACCCCCAAAGTAAAACGAGAACCCTTCGCTACGCATTCGGGAAAAAGCGTTCTTTCCAGCGCAGCCGGTTTACCTTTTTTCATACAGGACTCGCAGTTGCAAAAACCACGAATAAATCACACGCTTTACTCATTTTCCAACTCTCACTGATCGTCTGAACATGAACTTGGTAATGGTGGGGTTTGGAAAATCATCGTCTTCAAAATCTCCTTGCCCAAAAAACCGATGCCCTGTTTACAGGCAAAATCACTGCGTATCTGTCCTTGGCAAAACTTCTCCGTCTGACGGACTTCAAACGCCTCTGGTGCCACTGGGTGGTTTGCAATGTCCCAGCGGGTTTCCATCGTAGCCAAATCTTGCTTGGTCCTGAATTCCAAGCGTTGCAGTACCTGCACAAACCAGGGCTGCAATGTTCCCTCTAACAAATGACTGCTTGCACAAACATAGATGGCACCTAAAGACGCGGAAAGGGCCTAGATCTTTCAACGGTTGTTTGGGGTTTGGCATGACTAACTCGTGTCCAACATGAGCAGAAACTAGAAAACAAACGCATCTTGATCTGTCACAGCTTGACGGTTTCCCTTTTTACCTTTGATCTGGGCAAGCTAAGGCACACAGCGAGCGCAAACTTGCGGAAAGCGCGAGCAAGCGCATTTCGAAAGTTGTGGTTCGTTCAGAACCTTCCCTTGGCATCTAAATCTCCTCGAACCCAAATTACTGAAACGCGTAAAAAAAACTATCTCCGGCAAAATTCACCAGAAATTAATTTGCTTCCAAAGATCCAGGTAACCCATGTTTCTTTACCAAGGGGACCATGTGTAAGGTAGCCTGACCGTTGCTTCTGAAAAGTCACGTGTTTTGTTCAGATGGCTAGCCATCAACTGTTGTCTCTTTTCCTTCGAATTCCCAAACAGCAGGTCCGCTCTTCTTGCAAGGGTTTTTCATCCTTGTCAAAGGTAGCGTGCTTTGCAGAAGGAAAGCCCTATTCGCAAAAGAATAGACAGTTTGGTTTTCTCCCAGCATCTCCTCCTCTCTTGTGGCTTGTGCCCCGCTCATTTCCACAAGTGGCCTGGGGGTCCTGAGGTGGAATTCACCTACCTGCCCCCCATTTCTGTCAAGTCGCGGTCTGTCTCGCACCCCTCAACGAAGCTTTGTGTTGCTCGAGATATGCTCAGGTTTGCTGCGTTGCGGTGCCGTGTTTTTGAACTGCTGAAAATGCTTTCAAATTTTACCTGTGCGTCCAGAGGGTAAGCTAGTTGAGCTGACCAAAAACTGCACGGCTTCTCTCTTAGTTGTCCCTAGCAGATATTGCTACACTTTCTCAGCGTCATGTCACTTTTTTGGCAGTCTCTCCACATCAGTCTGCGGCAAAGAAATGCTCCAAATGTCAAGCCTCGCAGAGGATGGCTTTCATCTCCAGCATGGCGAAGTGTTGCCCGACGCAGCTCTTGGGGCCACGTCCGAAGGGCGTGAAGAGACGATTCTGCAGCGCTGCAGAAAACACAAGTTCCGCAATATGTCACATTTTGAAATTACACACGCACACACATATATATATATATATATACATAATCGAAGGAAGTTTAGAAGTCAAACTTCCGACAATATGGACAGATGAAAAGCAGAGCAGGGCAGAGGCAGAGAGAAGAGAAAGATCAGAAGAGAGAAGAGTAGAAGAGAAAGAGTAAGAAGAAAGCAGATGCAGATGCGCGAAAAGGTAGGACAGTCGCGAAACACTGTGTTTTTCCAATGATTTGAGGCTCCGGAGGGTCGAAAAGTAGGCTCGCTAAAGCGGCGGGTGCGGAGCCAGCTGGCCAGAGGAGAGATGCAAAAATTGCACGCCATTGTGGCGCGAAGCACATTCCCAAGTCAAAATGTACAAAACACACCACGTTCGGACCACTTTTGGAAGTTGAGATGTTGAAAAAGTGTACGCCGTTGTGGCGCGAAGCACATTTCCAAGTCAACATGTAAAAAACATTAGGGGTGCGGACCACTTTTGGCACTTGAGATGTCGAAAAAGTGCACGCCGTTGTGGCGCGAAGCACATTTCCAAGTCAAAATGTACAAAACACACCATTGTCGGACCACTTTTGCAAGTTGAGATGTCGAAAAAGTGCACGCCGTTGTGGCGCGAAGCACGTTTCGAAGTCAAAATGTTAAAAACACCAGGGGTTCGGACCACTTTTGGAGGTTCAGATGTCGCTTCGCTTGACTACACTACACTACATTACACTACACTACACTCCACTACACTACACTACATTACACTAAACTACACTACACAACACTACAAGTACAACTACACAACTACACAACTACACAACTACACTCCACTACACTAAATTACGCTACACTACATTACACTACACTACACTCCACTACAACTACAACTACACAACCACACTCCACTACACTCCACTACACTAAATTACACTGCACCACACTAAATTACACTACACTACACCACATTACACTACACTACACTACATTCCACTACACTCCACTACACTACACTACATTGCACTACACAACATTACACTGAATGACACTGCACCGCAGATAGACAGGTAGACAGATAGACAGATAGATAGACAGATAGACAGGTAGACAGCTAGACAGATAGACAGATGAAAGAGAGAGAGAGAGAGAGAGCGAGAGAGAGATAGATCGATAGGTAAATAGATACATAGATAGATAGATAGGTAGGTAGGTAGGTAGATAGTCAGAGAAAGAGAGAGAAAGAGAGGAGACCTCAAGCACCTTTCAGTCCATCAGTGGCTTCGCTCTGCCATCCCTGATTCACAACAACCAACCTCTCCTATAGGTTTCCTATTTTTGAAACTTCCGCCACCGCCTTGTGCGGTACTACTGGTAATATGATATATGTTTTGTATTCGCACATAAACTTTATAAATATATTATGCATATACACATACAAGTCTTGCAGGGGCACTGCATGCATGACTGCCTCCAAAAGAAGATTTCGTGGCGTCAGGCAAGAAAAAGATCATCATCGCGCAATGACTCTAGAATACCCCATGGGCTGGTGTAGGAATCCATCAATCTTGTTCGCTTAGGTGCAGAATGTTGACCCAAACTCATCGCCATGCCTGACTTGGGTCCTTGTAGCGGTCCGGACTCACATCTGAAGGAGAAGGGAAATACTCCTCACCGGCAAAATCTAGACATGACATGACACGTCAAGGAAACAGTCCCCACAACTTGGCACACTATCTCGTGATTTCAAGTTTCAAAGACCTTCAAAGCTCCACGCCAAAGTAAAATTGCCACTCAAGCACCATGCCCACCTTGTCCACATGAAAATCTCGGATGTTCAAAATGAAGTGCGTCCCACGAGCTACTCGCAGCTCTCCCGATTCCAATGGGATGGCGTCTTCTGCGATCGCTGTGCGCAAGATCATGGGGCCCACCTCAGCAATGGCGCGGTCTGTGGGCGCACGGGCAAGGGGGGAAGCAGTGGATCAACCAAGCTTTGGCAAAGGCAAAAGGCTGACGAGCAAGTGGTTGGATGTCGTGGGTCACAAGGACAAACATGGTCCCATGCCCCTTGTTTTCCATGACCTCTTGCAAACCTGTCTCACAGAGATTGCCTTGACCGGCAGCAATCTGGAACGGTTGGTAATTTTGAGATGTACAGTGTGGATGCTGAGTGTTGGTTTGGAAAGTTCGCACCCAACTGACTTGGAACTCACGTAGAGACATTGTGCAATACTTTGGATCAAAAGAAGATAGAGCCCCTGGGAATCACTCATTGCACCGCGGGTTGATTGCGTAGCCATCATATTGGTCTGCGAGTGTGTTTGGGGCAACTTCTGAGAATCTAAGACTTGAAGGAAACGATCGCCGGCCGTTAGCCAGCAAAAGGTGTGGAAACCCCTGTGAAGACAGTGTTACCTGCATGGTAGCGGAGCCCAATGCTCCAAGGGCCCGAAGAAGTGATGTACTCTGGTCTGCAGAGCCGATCAGAGCGGCCGGGTAGCACTTTGGCCAAGAGCAAGGATGGAGTGCCGATTTGGGCAGGCGACCTCTCAACGTTCGAAGAATACGTTGAGGCCTGGTTGATGTATGAGCAGACGGTGGTGCGAGAGAAGAGATACCTGTGCGGCCCCAGGTGCGCCAGTGAGTTGAGAGGATCAGCTAGGCGCATCCTTGTGGGAAAACCAGCCAATTGGCTGTCTCATAGCAATGCGACATATCAGAGGTTGTTGCTGAAATACTTCAAGGGATCAAAGCGCCAGCGTGGACATCATGAAGAAGGCAGAAGCATATACCAGAGCCCAGCAATCAATGGCACGACTGCAGTGTGAGACCCGGGGGCAATCATCCACTGCTGCCACTGGGTCCCAGAGCACCCCAGTCGCCAAGCGGGACGTCCAGCAATGGGATGCCTGATGATGAGATGGTGAGTGGGGCTGGTCTCAGGACTGTGGCTGGTTTCCAATGCAGGCGAGGCCTTCATTGGCAGACACCAGTGAACTGGGCAGAAGTGCCCTCTACGTGCAGGGATGGTACCTCTTCACGGATACAGGTCTGGATACGATGGAGAGGAAAATGTCGTGCAAGCAGAGTTTCGAGGCAGCTTCAGTGTGAGGGCTGTGGAAGAAGCGCTGAGGAAGCATTGGTCTAACTCAGACCTGAGGAGAAGGGGCTCAGAGAAAGGGAAGGCCTTTAGCCACCTGACCGAGGACCAGAATGAAGAAGTGTTCGCGTGGATAGGTGAGTGGAACGAAGAGGAGCTCGAGGCTGAAGGGATCACCGTGGATGAAATACAATTTCCATGCCTGGCAACTGAGAGAGAACGGGCCATCGAAGCCTACAATGTGATGCAGGGAGCCAGAAGGACTCTCAAGGAAGCCCGTAGTTCTACCCAGTCAAGGGCAATCAGCGCGGTGGGCCAGAGGGACGGCTTTGGAAACAGTTCAAGCAGACTGATGCGAACCTGAAGTGCTCCGGTTGAGGAGGCCCTCACAAAGTAGCAGACTGCAAAGAAGCACCCCAGAGTCGGCCAGCAGCCAGCGCACATGTGGCAGAAGAGGCGCCATTCATGGGACAGTTGCTGTCCACGCAGGATGTGGTAGCCCAAGGAAAAGCTATCGTGGACGGTGGAGCCACCAGGACCATAGTGTCAATTGTGGCTCTGTCCAAGGTGTGCGAGCTAAATGAGAAAACCAGAGGCGCAGCAGGAGTCAGAGAGGTGGACATGTGTGACCGACCTATATTTGGCTTTGGCAATAGCACTGCTATATTTGGCTTTGGCAATAGCACTGGCAATCAATGTGCTAGCACAGCCAGCCTTGAGGTACCACTGGATGGGAAGTTGAGCACTCCGAAGGTACATGCCTTAGATGAGGGAAATGCGCCCATCCTCCTGTCCATCGACTCACTGAGAAAGCTTGGCGCCGTGATCGATTTTGGTTCTGATCGAGCCGTACTGAGAGCGGTAGACTCCGGTATAGGTTGGAACATGCAGCAGTGGGGCAAGTTTTCCCGCTGACCGAAGACGCCCTGGCCAGTGCAACGACCTTGGCTAAGTCTTTGCCGTCCTTTGATCAGTTGGAATAGGGACAGCACCTTTCTGCCTTGGAACCAGCACAGGGTAGAAAGGACCGTGTCAATCTTAGCTGGGTTGGGTGCAAGGAGAGTTTTAGTAAAGGGGAGTGAGAAACCCAAAGTGATCCACCAATCAAGGGCCAGCGGCCAGCAAACAGCAAGAAAAACAGGAGAGCAGCAAGGAAGCAGTAGGTAGATGTCCGCGTGATGAGGATGATATGATGATGAAACTGATGAAACATAAGGAGTTGCGTATGTCCACTGCATGTGTGTCCACCCCTGGTGACTTAGGTGACTTAGGACCGAACGACCGTACAGCTGAGGCGCTACCTTCAACCTCATCGAGCTCTTCAAGGACAGGTGCAGCCCGGGTTGACCTTCAAAATGGGGATAATAATGGGGAAAACTTTTGGGGAAGTAGCAGAAGGAGAACGGAGAAGGATTTCCAAGCCACAAAAGCCGAGACAGAAGTAATTGACAGCCTGGACTTAGAGAGGAAACATGATATGTCATCAGCAGATCTCAAGGCTCAGAAACAGCAGTTGCCACCCTCTCCGTTGGTAGAAGCAGTCCATAGGGAAAGCAATGACGTCAGTTGTGCAACTGGATGCGGCAGGTCTGAGGAACCGCCTGCTAGTGCAACATGGAGAGACCGCCCCCGAGGAATGGAGCAAGATGCAGTTGCTGCTGAGGTTGACCGAGCTAGAGGGTCCCGAGGGCTTGGCCCCCAAGAAGACCGAGATCAGCCCACTTCGAGTGATGGAGGTGGAGATCAACAAGGCAGCTCGAAAGAAGGCTACCCTGATTGGCCTCATCCAAGAGCAGTTGCCGGTGAACCTCACGGGCAACGAGACCATCGAGATCCTCAAGCTGAAGGCCATGGATGCGGCATATCGCTCGGATTTGGCATGCACGCAAGCAAGTAGTACCACGAGGTGTATGCCCAGGAGCCAGAGTACTGCCAGTGGGCGCAGACCGCTGCAGTGGAGGGATCCACGTGTCCAAAGCCCCAGCGCCTTGAGGCATGGCTGGAGCAGCAGGACCCGGCAGGCCGACGCAAGATGGAGATGGACAACATGAATTGGGCACAAGCGCACTTCGAAGGCCAAGGGATCCAAGGAGCTCCCAACCCCAAGTGCAGCCACCAGTCCTCAACTGGATCAGTTGACAGCAGTGGTGGGGATGCTGGCCAAAGAGGTTCAGAGCTTGAAGGTGGAGAAGGAATCCAGCGACTGGGAGACCATGACGAACCCCCAGTGAGAGGACTTAGGGATGAGGGCCATATGAGCCAAGCCTGGGGCTTGGAGACCAGGGAAAAACCTCTGGAGCCGAGCGCCTGGTACCTGATGCATTTCAATCACTTGTCAAACATTGCAGAACAGCTCTTTTCGAAGTAGCATGTGGACCAGACTCATTGCTGACAGCAAAAATGAGGCAGCTGACTGGAAGTGAGTCTGGTGCTGAGAGACTGTCGTTTTTGGAATGGACACGACATGACCACTAGCCTAGGGGTGAGAGCAGTCATCAGTAGAATCAAAAAGGAGAAGCCATGCCATGTTTGGTTGGGTCTTGAGCGTGGTCGTTTTTCAAAAATGCAGAATGTGAACCAGAGAACGGAGAAACAGAGAGAACAACTGAAACAGAAAGGAAACAATTGCATCAGACAGTACATCGGAGGGTTGATAGTGTACATACACTGCTGTCAAAACGGAGTGGCTGTGACTTGGGAATGGTCTGAAACAAATGACGCTTGGAGGTTACCAGTGGTTCAGAGAGTTTCGAAAAGTATCCCCCAAGGTTTTGCGTGGTAAAGGGTTGTCGTGTCAACTTGCGAGACTTGAAGCCTATAGGATACAACTACAGACGCGTTGGAAACTGGCCACGACACATGCGCTCATGCCAGGCAACATGTCACTGCCATGCACATGTAAGGATCCACATGCACCATGTCAAGGACGAATGGCTCGAGAATCAGCATAATTACTGCACTGACGATTTTGCTCGAAGGGTTTGCAAGACCATCCTGGAGGACATTGGGAGCCAGGACCTGCGAGCGGAGGTCACAGGACATTCCGGGGTGCCCAAGGAATTTCTTGGACAAACTAAGGGATGTTCCTGCGAGGCGGTGATGCACCCAAGGAGTGAACTCAGGTGCAACCAGTGTGACATGAAATGGTGAATGAAAGTGAGGAACCCTTAAGCTTAGTGGGGGTGAACAGGGGTAATAATCCGGAGGGGCCTTTAACCATAGAAGAACGAGATAAGGCATTGCGAGGTTGCTACGATCCACAGAAACACGAGGTCATGGCCCATTGGAACACTTGGTGCGAGCCCTGGAAGCCAGAAAGACTGATCCTGGGATCGCACAGCTGGCCAGGGAGTTCCAGTGCGATGTCTGTTGCGGATGCTCCAGGAGGGTCCCAAGACCACATGTGTCGTTGGAACCAGGATCCATCCTCACCCCGGTGAGTGAGTCCAATTTACAATCATGATAGATGAGGGTTGTCGGTTTCGCATAGGAAAGATCATGAGTGTAGGCACAGGGTCTTTCCAGGAGCAAGGCCACAATTTGGAAAACCCGACAAGGTGAGGCTGGATATGGAGGTTGAACGAGGTGAGTGAGTACTTTGAAAACATCCATGTGGAAGTAGATGTAACACGAGCCATGTTGAAAGGGCCATCCAGGCCACCAAACATGTCATGTATCGCTTGGCAGCTGAGGACCCACAAATCACCGCAGCTGAGGCCTTGTCTGAAGCCATTCGAGTTGAGAATGAACGGGAAGTGGTCCGTGGCTATTCTCCTGCACAGCACGCACTATGACGGGCTCCAAATGCGGCTGGGGAGGTTTTGTGGCAGTGAACATTTGGACGCCCCCCCGGTTCTGTGTGAAACTGGAAATGGGGAGTGGGGAGTACAGAAGAAATATTGAAAGAATGAGGAATGCTGAGCAGGCCTTTTCAGAATGGATTGCCAATGAAAGAATCACGAGGGCCAAAAACACTAGGCCCTATCAGGCGAAAAGGTATTCCCCGGGAGAGCTGGTCTATGTTTGGCGTGTCACGGGACCAGTAAGGGTCTTGGCTTTGGAGACCCGGCTAACTGCAGAAGGAAACTACGGGCCAAGGTCGGTGGTGTGGTTGATCTGGGGCTCACGGTTGATTAAGGCCGTCCCAGAACAGTTGCGGAAGGCATCAGTCAGAGAAGAATGCCTGGAGGAGTTGGTCAATCCCCCCCATCTGCCTTGGACTTTCGCACGTTTAGCGGATGACATATATAGGGGTTAGACAATATGATGATGTGACTGATGAAGTACCCAATGACATGGAGTATGAACGAGGGATAGATGAAGAAACCATGCGACCCTTCAAAAGTATTCGGGGAAAGAAAACATTTCCAGAATGTCCTCCCGCGTCTGGGGCAGCATCGAGCTCCAGGGGGGGAATGAGTGGAGGAATGATGAATGAAAAACAGGGTCCATGGGAGACAATGTCGCAAAGTTTTCAAGACGAATATGCACAGTCATTTTGGACACAAGAAACGGCTGCGGTAGAGGTAGCTATAGGCATGCCTGAAACCAAACGGGGTTGGAAACAGTTGAGTGGAAACTTTGGGTCATTTTTGACCACAACTTCGTAGGAGAGCGATAGAAGTGAGTGAAAGATCTCTTGACCCTGAGGAGAAACAGAAAATGAATGAGGCAAAACAGGTGGAGATCAAGAACTTTATCAGCGCTAAGGCTTTGGAAGCAATCCCGGCACACCTTCAGCCAGACAAACAGGCTGCCATGAGAATGAGGTGGATTTTGACTTGGAAGCGAGATGATTCTGGTGGTCAACGTGCAAAGGCTAGGTGCGTGATCCTTGGCTATATGGATCCCCAGTACGAACACCGACAAGAAGCATCACCAACTATGACCAGGACCTCGAGGCAGGTGATGTTAGCGGTGTCAGCGAGCCTTGGATTTGGGGTGTGGAAAGGAGATGTGTCAGAAGCCTTTTTGCAAGGAAGAGAGTATAAGGGGGAATCATTTGTGATACCCACGGATGACATTTGTGATGCTGGGGATACCGGCAGGGTCAGTCACTCGCCTCAAGAAGGCATGCTATGGCTTGGTGGACGCAATCTTGGAATGGTTTCTCACAGTGTCGGAGTTTTTGATATCAATTGGTTTTGAAAAATGTGCGTGTGACCGTGTGACCCTTGTTGTTTCAAGTTTGTGGAAAGCGGAGTTCTCATCGGTTTGGTTGGTGGTCATGTGGATGATTTTATGTTTTGTGGTTTATCTGGATGTAAGACATGGGAAAAGCTGCGTAAACAAATCCATGAACGTTTCAAGTGGGGCACTTGGAAAAAAGACCATTTTGTTCAGTGTGGTGTTGAAATCTCCAGACTACCATGTGGTGGGTTTTCGTTGGGTCAGACCCAATACATCGATGATCTGAAGGGAAATTCAGATCAATGCAGAAAGGCGCAGGAATCAGAGGGCGGTCACCGGTGACTTGGAGAAAACCCGCCTCCGGGCAGCGCTTGCTCATGGAGTGCTCAACAATCATGTCCACACATAGCTGCAGGGGTGAGTCTGCCGTTGTCTCAGGTAAATAATAACACGGTAGAAACGCTGATTGAAACAAACAAACCGATATACAAAAACGAAATGCCAAAGGAAACGCAAACTGATTGTTCATGGTGGGATTCCTTTACATGACACGCTGATAGCTGGATGGGCTGATGCAGCAGCACAGAACAGGGTAGACGGAAAGAGCACCCAGGGGATTTTCATAGGAATAACCTCA